TCACACACATACATTTCGCCAAACGACTAAACCAAATACAGTGGATGTAGAAAGTATTCTCACTCTTGATGAAAAATTGCCGATATCTTCGACTCTTTTAACTTCGCGAAGAGAAAAAATCGTGCAACAAGTTTCGAGGGAAATCAAGACCGTGGTAGGATTTAGTCGTGAAAAAAAATTTTTCAATGTTCATACAGAGACGTTTGAACCTGCGACATTTAGCAGAGAGGAGGTAGCTTTATTTAACTCTTCTGAAATAATATGAAAATATTTTCGAGAAAAGCGAATTCGTTGCTAAAAGTAGATTCCTTTTTCCACAAAGTTACAACGAGAAACGTGTATTTTCGTGCCACTGTGATTCTTCATTTTTTCGCGAGAGGTAAAAATTCAGCAAAAGTGATAGTGCTGTGAATGCAAGAGCAATACAAGGATAATTTTAGATAATTTTCACGATGGACAATTTAGTCATAACGATCAAAATCTCCAGCCTAATTAAAAATAATTCACATGAGATGGTATCAAAATGGTCACTATCATCGTTACATCGATAGTCTCTCACATTGAGTAATTGACCAATCCAAATAAAAGTTTGGTAGAGAATTGTTTTAATACGTATTAAATATTATAAAAAGCACTATGCCTTGAATTTTAAATATTATTGTGCATTCTACGCGAGTTTCTATCCCTAGATTCTCCATGAAATCCGCAGTCCACGGACAACCAGTGTCGAGCGAAAAACTTTCGAGAAACACTTTCGATCGCAGCTCGAAACGATTCAGCAATCAAATTTCTAACGAAACGCTTCGTTGCGAGGCCGAGCAAAGAGAAATAAAAAGAAACCGGCGTACTTCCGGACAAGACTCAAACGAAGATACCATTAAAAAGCGGAAATGAGTGTCGGCAACGACGTTAACTTAACCGATCTCGGACGAACGATTCGACTTTCGAATGTCGCTTAACGTCACGACATCGTGTTACATGCATGCAATACGTGAATGCACGTTGTCTCATACGTCGATACCTGAAGCTGGCTACGTTATAATGTGCAAACTTGTTTTTTTATGAGCAGACGTGAAAAGAACGAGAGAGAGAGAGAGAGAGAGAGAGAGGAAAAAACGAATGATACAAAAATGAGAACGAGGCTATTCCAAATATTAGGAAATAAGTGAAGTAATAACACTTGTAGATAGTTTTTAGAAGTGTATTACGTGCATTGTGTATAAAATTGATATTTTTGACATTTCTTCAATATTTGTTGTTCTTTGTAATTCTAATCAAACATCAGAGATTGTAGGAATTATCTTTTTTTAGTTCTGTTCACCTTATGAACCTCGAAAACGTATCTTCCCCTATAAATAATAAATTTAATTAAATACTGTAACGAGATGTGATTGTTACGAATCATAATTTATGGTTCTATCGGTCAGGTTTGAAACAAATCTAAAACCATGTATATAAATTACAACATATTTAATACGAGCGTATCTATATTTCGTCACGAAAGTATTTAAACGGTGAACATTGTGTCAATATTAAATGAGTAGATATATTTGAAATACTTGAGACGATTATTAATTCTTTAAATCTAAATTTAACTAACGAGGGAAAGCCTTTAACATAAAGATAACTTACTTGAACAGTAAAAAAAATAACAGTAAAAATATCATACATTTTTATATATTCTTCTATCTATACATGTTTAATATATCTATTACATTTACAGGATCTACGTTCTAAATTTTATCGATATAATATGCAATTGTGGCCTCTCGTTAAAATGTTAATAAAATTTCAAGATGTTTCATACAATGCAGACATTAAAAGTTATACTGTGACTAGAGTTCTTCGTAGGTTACTGTACTTATATATGTATCTAGATATGCGAGTGAAGGGACATAAGTTGAAGAGCTAGGAAATATATAGTCATCGACTCTAGCGAGGGAAACGGTTCTACGCCGTTAAGAAAATTGGTCGTCCGAGGGTTGAGAAGACTGTAATTTAAAGTTAGTCACCGTTCTAGAAGCATTTGGTATACCGTGTCGCTCGAATTGTTTCCGATAGCCGTTCCAAAGATGTACGAGCGAACGTTTTCTCAGCCGCGCGTGCCCAAAACCGGTTTTTCGTCAAATTTTCGACGACGTATTTGACAGATACAGCGCTCGTCCAATTACTTTCACCAGTTTCTTTTTAACATTCCCGTGTTAACGTTTCCAGCGATTTTTGACGAAATCTCTGCTGAGATTAAGACGAAAGCTAGTAATTTAAAATTGGCGCGTGTTTGCACGACGATTCTATCGATACACACAGTGGTCTCCGAATGAAGATTTGAAGATCAGAAAAATAAAGAAAAGGCGCTAATTCTCTTTTCCTCTTGCGCAGAAGGTAACTGTGCAGTGTTGTAAACAGTGTAAAAATAACTATCACGAATATCACTTGTTTCTAAGATTGATTTGTGCTTTTAGGTTTTTCCTTTAATAGCAAAAAAAAAAAAAAAAAAAAAAA